CGCACACACTAAAACACACAAACCCACAGAGAGGTGTGGTATGGGAGGAGGTGTTGATCTTGTTGCCTGAGCACGTAAAGATTGCCATGCTCAGTGCCACCGTGCCCAACACTAAAGAGTTTGCTGAATGGGTGGGGTTGGTCATGATGATGATGGTGATGACGGTAATGATGATGATGATGATGGCGATGATGATTATGTATTGTATTGTATTGTACTGTTTTGTGTTGTATTGTACTGTATTATATTATATTGCATTATATTGTATTGTATTGTATGGTATTGTATTGTATGGTATGGTATGGTATGGTATGGTATGGTATGGTATTGTATTGTATTGTATTGCATTGTATTGTATGGTATGGTATTGTAATGTATTGCATTGTATTGTATGTATGGTATGGTATTGTATTGTATTGTATTGTACTAAGTTGCTAATTCAGTACCTCATTGATGGTGATGCCGCCTGAGGTTTATAGTGATGATAAAGGATGATGGTACTTATGTAAATTAGATAGGTATCTCATTACCCTTTAGGATATTTCAATTGTGTAACCTCTATTATTTGTGGTTTTCATGGCTATAATGACGATTGCTCTGGTCGGGTGACGTTACCAACTGGCCTCTTTACTGTCTTCACTTCAATTCTTACATTATTAATTATAATGTTATCATCATCATCATTTTATAGCCATTGTTTTTAACGTTGTTTTTTATAGCTATCATCGTCGTCTTCATCACCACCACCATCATCAATGCCACCATTATCACCACCACCATCATCATCACCATCGTGGTGATCAGGAGGACGAAGAAGAAGATGGTGAGCGTGATAAGCACAACAAAGCGGCCAGTGCCCCTGGAGCACTTTATCTACACAGGCACCAACCAGAAAACTTCCAAGGAGTTCTTCCTCATACTCGATGCTGACCGGAACTTTGTAACTGATGGGTTGGTTGGTTGGTTGGTTGGTTTGGTTGGCTGGCTGGTTGCTTGATTTGGTTGGCTGGCTGGTTGCTTGGATGGTTAGTTAGTTGGTTGGTTAGTCAGACGGCTGGTTTGGTTAAATGTTAGTTGGGTGATGGAGTTTCGTCTTATTAGTTCAAATGATTGGTTGATTTATTTAATATTTGTGTGGTTAGTTAGCTTGTTTGAATATCATAGTAGATGGTTTACACGCATCAGATGATTGATCACCTTACCGGTAAATGTACTGGTTCGTTGATTGGTTAGTAGATGCACTGGCTCGTTGATTGGTTGGTAGATGTACTAGCTCGTTGATTGGTTGGTAGATGTACTAGCTCGTTGATTGGTTGGTAAATTTACTGGCTCGTTGATTGGTTGATAGCATGTACATGTTGTTTATACAAACTTACAAAGCTATAAGAAAGCGGTTGAGGCAGTGAGGAGTAGAAGTTCGAAGAAGTCAGATCAGCAGTTTGGAGGAAAGGGTGTCAAGTACAGCGTCAATCCTAAACAAGTTAGCTGATTGATTGATTGATTGATTGATTGACTGACTGACTGACTGACTGACTGACCGACCGACCGACCGACCGACCGACCGACCGACCGACCGACCGACCGATTGATTGATTGATTGATCGATCGATCGATGGATGGATCGATTGATTGATTTATTGATTTGTTGTGACATCACGGACCCCAGGAACAGCAGATCTGGTTGTCACTGATTCACGAATTGGAGAGACAGAGCAAACTCCCCGCTGTTTCGTTCGTCTTCTCGAAGAAGAGGATCAACGAGAATGCCGACAGGTTGACCTCTCTCGACTTGTTGGACTCGTCGGAAAGAAGCAAGGTGGTCGTCTTCTTCAACAAGTGTCTTCAAATGCTCAAACCTCCAGATAGGGAACTGCCACAGGTCTGCTCTGCATGTCTGTCTGGTGGCTTTTGTGTTTGTTTGTGTTTGTTGTTTGTGTTTGTTGTTTGTGTTTGTTTGTGTCTGTGTCTGTTTCTGTTTGATGTCTATATTCGTTTTTATACGATTTCATTGATGTTAATTATTTATTTATTTAATTTATTTATTTAATTAGTTGTTATTAACTTATTCCTTGTTGATATTTTGTTTAACATTTTATAATTTAATTCAAATTTGTCGTTACAAACATCTGCTCAAGTGATTAAAACTAATTTACATGCTCTGACGTTGTTTAATGTCAATTGAATGATGATGTCTTCTGGTGGCGATGAAAGGTTCGAAGTTTGAGGGATCTGCTGGTCAGGGGCATTGGGGTGCACCACAGTGGCATCCTGCCCATACTGAAGGAGATCGTCGAGATGCTCTTTCAGAGGGGGCTTGTTAAGGTTCGTACCGGTATTTCTCTTTGTGTGTCTGTTTGTGTTTGTGTGTATTTATGTGTTTCTGCCTGGCTCAATAACAATACCACATATAACGTCTGTTTTCTTCTGTTCTATATTCTTCTGTTGTTTTTCATTCGTTCTTTTTTATTTAATTTAGAACAAATTGGAAAGTTTTATTATAAAATTTTATAAGGTTTCAGAAGGTAGTTCACATCACGTGCTGGTTTCACACCAATATTCTTTTCTCCTATTATGAACATACGGAGTTTCAATGTCACGATCAGTTTTTAAAAAATTAGAAATGAATTATGTCATGAGATTAACTGCGCCAGAATTTTCGGTTAAATTCAAAAAAATTTTCGTTTCAATTGAGTGATGTGTGATTGAATTACTAGTTGAAGATGGCTGGAGGTTTTGCTATTCCCATCCCACTGATAATTGCCTGATTCGTCTGTTGGCAGTTATTACCTTATGAGCAAACAACGCGCCAACGCTTGACTCTTGCCTAACAAATTTCTGGACCGAGAAATGCTTCTTGAAATGATACAAATTCTTCTTGTTATTTAATTTATCAGCAAAAATGGTATCAAACTATCATTTGTTTTCTATTTAAGTGACGTCATTATCACAACAGTAGCGGATTTAGGGAAGGCCACACCTACCTATGTTTTAGCTGGTTTTGGCCGGCCCGATAAATTTCAAATTTCGGCCCCCCCGTTGTAAACCTAGTCTAAATCGGACCCTACATCGCCCTAAGAAGTGTCCGCACCTGTGATTTACTTGTCATTAAGTACCTTTGTTTTATATTTTTCTTTCTAAATTTCAGATCTTATTTGCAACCGAGACCTTTGCCATGGGTGTGAACATGCCCGCCAAGACTGTCATATTCGATTCCATTCAGAAACATGATGGAGAGAGAATGAGGAATCTACTGCCTGGTTGGTTGGTTGGTTGGTCGGTCGGTCGGATGATTGATTGATTGATCGATCAAATGAATGATTGATTGAATTAATGAATGATTGATTGAACTTATGAATGATTGATTGAATTAATGAATGATTGATGGAATAAATAAATGATTGAATTAATTAATGGTTTGTTAATTGATTTATTGGCTGGTTGTTATATTGTTTGATTAAATGGATGAATAAATAAATGAATGAATGAATGAATGAATGACCGATTTCTTGCAGGTGAATACATTCAGATGGCTGGAAGAGCTGGAAGAAGAGGATTGGATAAGACAGGTGTTGTTTCTGATGATGATGATGAAGATGATAATGATGATGGCAGTAATAATGATGATGATGATGTTGATGATTATGAATGTGTGTGATAAAATATTGCAAGATCTTATTTTATTCCACGATTCTGATGATAGGTTGATACTAACGCGTAGAGTGAGTGTTCATGGTGATAGTTGGAAAATGTTTATTACCGTTACCTATTTACTGGCGCTACTACTACTGGCGCTACTACTACTACTACTACTGCTGCTGCTTCCACAGCTAATACTGCTCCACTACTACTACTACTACTACTACTACTACTACTACTACTACTACTGCTACTATTACTACTACTACTACTACTACTACTACTACTACTGCTACTATTACTACTACTACTACTACTACTACTACTACTACTACTACTGCTACTATTACTACTACTACTACTACTACTACTACTACTACTACTACTACTACTACTACTACTGCTACTATTACTACTACTACTATTACTACTACTACTACTATTATTACTACTACTACAACTACTACTACCACTACTACTACTACTACTGCTACTATTACTACTACTACTACTACTACTACTACTACTACTACTACTACTACTACTACTACTGCTACTATTACTACTACTACTACTACTACTACTGCTACTATTACTACTACTACTACTATTACTACTACTACTACTACTACTGCTACTACTACTACTACTACTACTACTACTACTACTACTACTACTACTTACTGTGTCTACTACTACTGCTACAACTACAACTACTACTTATTACTACTACTACTACTATTACTACTTACTACAACTACTACTGCTACTACTACTACTAACTGCTGCTACTCTTTCAATAACAGGAACCGTGATTATCCTGTGTAAGAATGAGATGCCTGAAATGTCGGACCTCCATAAGATGATGATGGTCGGTTTGTCTTCTCTTTTTTCAATTTTTTATTTCATTTTTATTTTAGTTTTTTAATCATTTTCTTCTTATTTTTGGTTCGTCTTCGTCATTGTTATTCTTTTCATCACTTTCATCTTCTTTATCATTATCGTCAAATCATTTTCTCGTGTTCTTTTCATTGTTTTTTAGAATAATCTTGAAAATTGATATTGCGTCTGTTGTGTTTTTTTTTATTTTGATATGTTTTTGTTGACAACTAAAAGTGTTACCAATGACATAAAACCAACAACAACAACAACAGCAACAACACAACCAGCACCACCAACAACAACAACAG